TCGCGGATGCCAACGCGCCTGTGGTACAGCAGATGGTGCTGTTTGGTTGAAATTAAAGGCATCGTGGAGTTCTCGTCACGTAAGAGAACTCTTATACTGGTAGGAACCTCCTGGTTACACTAGCCCACAAGGGCTTATTGTGTCCGTCCGTCGTGCAGGGAGGGGCTGGGTGGGGAGGGAGGGGCTGGGTGGGGAGGGGAGGGTGGGGAGGGGCTGGGTGGGGCTGGGTGGAGAGGGGAGGATGGGGAGGGGTTGGGTGGGGACGGGCTGGGTGGGGAGGGTGGGGCTGCGTGGGGGATGGGAGGGGTGGGGCTGGGTGGGGAGGGGAGGGGCTGGGTGGGGACGGGCTGGGTGGGGAGGGTGGGGCTGGGTGGGGGATGGGAGGGGTGGGGCTGGGTGGGGAGGGGAGGGGCTGGGTGGGGAGGGGCTGGGTGGGAGGGGTGGGGCTGGGTGGGGAGGGGCTGGTCACCCCGTGATGCCCTTATAAAACTCAACGTTTAACCTAAAAACGCCGGCCTGTGCCCGCCCTCACAGTCGGGCATATTTGCTGAATTCCACCACGCCGCCGTTGACCCTGGCCATTGACCGAGCAACCCAACGTTCCTACCAGCTCCCTCCGCAGCAGGAATGTGTTCCACGTGATTTTGGGGACCAATATCGCAGTAGCTGTTATCCGCGGGGTTATCTGCGATTCTATTTCTTGGATAGCCCCAAGGTTGTACCATTATTTTACCCGTGCTCAAATCTACTGATCGTTGACAACGGCACGCACACAATTTACATTCGGCTTCGTGATTAACTTTAGCATTCTTTTCATGCCGTGTCCATGCAAACCGAATTTGGGGGAATATATTGCTCGCTATTTTCAAAGACAAAGTCTTCCTTAAACAGCGAGTCCTCGCTTAACGCGGTAGATGGCGTTCCTGAAAATTTCCGCGTTAAGCGAACACAATTTCCCCGTCAACAAAGCAACGGTGCCGTTTGGCGACATGCGATGTGCTCCGGCACAACCGCACAGTGAGACGGCGGGATACGTCCCTGAGGGTACCCCGTCGCCTTACTGTATCATTCCGCGCAGTGTATCCCTCCACTCAGGCGCGCTTCTCAAGAAAGTAGCTCGTCGTCGACCGCTTGGTAACCGCACGTGAGTGATTGGTGAGCACGTGAGTGATTGGTGAGCACGCGCGTATTGATTGGTGATCACGTGAGTATCGATTGGTGCTCACGTGAGTATCGATTGGTGAGCACGTGAGTATCGATTGGTGATCACGCGAGTATCGATTGGTGAGCACGTGAGTGATTGGTGAGTAGGAAAGTGGGCAGGTGAGTGAGTGCGGATTCGATATCAACACTGGAGTGGGATGTGATAGTGATGGACTATGAACTATTTGTATCTTACCAGGCAAGGCCCACTGAGCTATGTGGCTCTATTTTGGAAGCGACATGGCCAAAAATGATCGCTCTACGAAGTGGCTTATCGCGTGCAAATTTATAGCGGCCAAAAACTCACAACGCACGTTCCTAAATGCGGAGGGTGAAGACCCAGAGGAAAATCCAGCCGACCACGGAGAAAGATTAGAAACGCCGCAAACTCCAAAATACAGCAGCAGGCGTCAGGGTCGGGATCGAATCCACGACCTCCTGTGCACCAGGCGAGGTGGTTAACATCTCGCCGCGTGCATCAATCACATTGCTGACATGCAGATGAGGGCTCACGAGTGATCATTATCAATCGAGGTGAGTGGCTCAGGGGCCGAATGGCTCACAGGGCTATACCAAATATACTAAAACTGTGTTCTTACTCTGTGTCTTGTGTGTCTCCTCGCTTTTGTCTGTGCGTCCGTGCCCGTGCCTGTCCCTCTGTTCGTGTCTATTTCATATTCAAAGCAGCTGGCGTCCGTGCACCTGTTTGGTCACGGCCATCTATGTATTTTAAATCCATCGCGAACAACCGCGGATATGAGAAATAATGTGTCGCGCAACTCCTGTTATCTGCAGAAAAATCGCGAATATTATTAGAAAGCCGCTTCCCTGTGCGTTGTGGGTCAAAGTGCGGATAACAGCGGGCCACAGATAGAAATTGGGCCGCGTAATATGAGTTTTTGCGGACCCTACAGCTGGCGCAGGTAATAGGGCCGCTGATAAGAGGAGGTATGTAAGTCTGCGCCGTGTTTAGCCTAACGTCCAATGCACAAAGGGCCGATCTTCAATCCGATACTGCCACCTACACTTGAGACTCCTCGAGAGCGAAATCGTTTCACAGAGTGGCAGTAATGTCCTGTTCAATTGTAGCGCGATCTTATCTCCCTCGCCTGGCAGACAGGAGGTCCGTGGGTTCGATCCCCACCCCTGACGCATGCTGTATACTTGGAGCTTGCGACCTGGCGACAAATGATAGCTCAAGCAAGTGGCTTATCAAGTGGAAACGTATAGCAGCCAAATACTCTAAACGCGTGCTTCTGTGGAGGGGAAAACCGGAGGACCCGGAGAAAAGTCCACGCGACTACGGGGAGACATGCAAACTCCAAATATGCAGCACGCGCTCGGGTTGGGATTGAATCCACGACCTCCTGTATAGCAGACGAGGTAGTTAACATCTGCTACCACCCTTATCAGTTACTCTTACTACCATCACGACCGCAGAAGCAGTGGCGATGTTGACAACGTCTGAAAGCATTCTTGCTTGGTCCATGACAGTATTTTCTGCACTCCTGCACCATGATGATATATAATTGTCATCCCTCCATCCGCATCGTCTCTTGTTGCCTCCATCCCATCATGATTGTGATGGAGGCAGCTTGAGCCGTGGATCCAGCCTTGGACACAGAACTTGAGAGAGCCCATCACCGAGACGTGAATCGGTTCGTATTTGATTTGGGTATACAAAATAGCATCTCAACGATGACATTATTTAGATTGTGTAAAGGCAATATACACCTGAAGAGTTACTATTTGCCCTCCTGCTATGTAGATAACCCCCCAGCATGTCCAGTTATTCACAAAAGCTCTCAGCCTTACCCAGACCACCAGCTCAAAAATAACTGAACGAGGGGCCATGTCTTCCACAGAAGAACACCAACTAAAGCGAGCTGAGGAAATGTGGCCATGCTCCAGATATTCCAAAAGAACTCCCTTCGAGTGTCATCGACTCTCGTCAACTCGCTGGAGGTGCACGAAACGCACTCGAAAAGAAAATTGCAAATGAAACATCTTGGAGGGGAACACAAGGCACGCCTCATCTTGAAATGCAGATGCTAATGACGCCCAAATTTGATGCACCGGTTTACGTGAGTCTACGCGTGTTTGGGGCCGTCCATAAATGACGTCACGCACCTAGGGGGGGGTCAGACATTTGTGACGAGGGGGGGGGTTGAGAAATGTGACGTCACATCAAATACGTAACTTTTAATAAATATAGAATTTGTTATAACAACACTAATTGTTAAAACAACACTCCTACAACATTAGAGAGCAGCGCCACATTAAATACGCACTACAATGACAATAGTTTAAAGCATGTTTTGAAGCATGTTTTATTTTAAAAATGGAAATATGGTTTGGGGGGGCAGAGCTTTGTGACGTCATATTTGAGGGGGGAGACTGACTTTTTGTGACGCCGTGTGACGAGGGGGGGGGGGTCAAAAATCGTCCATAATCGCGTGACGTCATTTATGGACAGGCCCCTTTTCCCATTAAAATTATGTACGATTCATGTACTAATTACGTACTATTTACCACTGTCTTTTCGAGATAAAACATTCTCCTACGTCAATCATCGTAAACGTGTCACTTAGAGCGCAAGGCATAGTTTTGGAGGCGTGTTCTGGCATGGCCCCCGAGAGAGGCGACACCGGAGAAAATATTCGTCTCCAATTCGGTTGATCTGGAAGCCCCTCTGAGCAGGTGTAGTTGGCTCATTAAGAGTCAATTTGGGAAGCCTTCACCCTCTGGCAACCTCTTCCTCAACAACAACAACAAGTGAATGTGCACCTGCGAGTCTGCGACCTTTAGAGCCCCCACGCCGAGCCGGGCCGATGGGGCCACGTGCCGTTCATCGCCCCTCGTAGACAACGCGTGCGCGGCGTGCCGTCAGCCGCATGGCTGGTGGCCACCTTTAACCGAGCCGCCACCCCCCAACACTTAGCGGCTCGTGCCCAGACCCCCGGGTATCCCCCCTCCTCCCACCCCCCCGTGTCTGGTGTGAGCGAGTGTGAGTTTCGAGGGAGGGCGATTATCCCCAGCCGTGTGATTGCTGCTTGGGGTGGGTTCATGCGGACACAATGGTCCCTCCCCGCGGCCCTGTAAACACAGCTGGTTTACGCGGTGCCATTCACAAAACGTGGTTTGTGTCTTTTTTAAAGGGTGGGGGGGGGGGTCACAATCGCAGGGAAGGCTCGTGAAGGGGACGTGGCTGGGCAGTTGGAGGCAGTCGCCTTCCAGCAACAACGGAGAGAGCGACGCTCACAACAACGAGCGCCGGGCGGATAAAATTCAGCAAGTTGGCACAGTGGGTTGGGGGGGGGGGGTTCAGCTGGTGGTGCATCTACCGGTCATCTCAGTCATTCAACCCACGGCACCTGCTGGGTCTGTCCCGAGACATCGTGTCAGCAGCGAGCCTTCGACACTTCGCGTGGCCTCAAAGTGCACCTGGCCTGGCACAGGCGCCGTGGTGACGTCAGCGTCACTTAAATGGCGAATGGCAGGGGGGGCTTGCTATTGGTATATTGTTGAACTTCTTTTTGCATTCGTGACCAATATTATCCACAATCGTTTCTTTTGTTTAGATCGTGTAAATATAAATGTGTCGTTAAACCAGGTTTGTCACAGAACGTGCCAATTCGTTACTAGTACAGCACTCACCGGTGTGCTGGAGAGCAAATCCACAACATTTACAATTCGAGTACGACGTTTCGCCAATAATTACAACCAGCATCATCAGGCGACAGCCAGATTTGTGGAGAAATCCTCCTGTTTCGTTCCTTAAATAGAGGGGTAGATGTGATGACGTCACTTGGAAGCCCTTCTTGAGCGAAGTGCGGGAGGATTAATGAACTAGTGACGAACTGGCACGTTCTGTTTACGTGACAAACCTTATTAATTGGCTGTGTCGGGTGGTGGCGGGTTTAACGACACATATTTACGGGATCTAACCCAAAAACAACTCTTATTATGGAAAAGGCTTTCGTTCATAACAATAAAAGATACTCCACAGAAATAGAACGGACAAAGTCTGCAGATCAAGCCCAGAAACCATCAGCAAACTGGATTTAATGCATACGACCTCAAAGATGCACGCAACATTCCACAGATCTGCACTGTTATGCACTCACACGCTTGCATATCCAGTGCCACATCGCTTGGAATTACGCAAAATCCACAAATGTACCGGACAGATTTTCCTTGACGAGTCGCAAACATCTGCAGCACTTTCATTTATTAACCCGCGCTAAACCCAGTTTGCCCTTCAACGTACATTCGTGCGAATGCGACGGCCCGTGCCTGTGCAAGTGTCCGCGCGCACGAAGCGACCCGCGGTCACTGCTGCGGGCTGACACGTCGGTGATAGAGGATGCACGTGAGTGCGCGCGTCGAAACCCGTTCGGAGTCTACATCCGCCGGTGCCAGGAGGCCAGTACGCCATGCCAACGTTGCGCGATGCCAGGGGGAAGCCCCACGCAAGGTTGTGGGCGCACCGCCACCAATGTCCCTCTGGAGTTCACCAAATGACCCTCTCCTGTGGCAGCGCGAATAGTTATTTAAAAATAATACAAGCCGTATTAAAACACACGCGCGTTCAGTGTAACGCTTACACGTGCATGCATTCACACATGATTTCAAGCAGGAGGTCACACGTTAAGAATACAGTGATGAATATGTAAAGTTGTATAACTTAACAATAATTTATATTACTTCACTGCATAAATCCCTTTTAAGGTCTAAAAACGCGAACGCAGAAAATCTTTGGAAATATTTTTTGTATAAATGTACCTTTGTTACCAACAATGTAGAGCTCCCTCTGAGTGGAGGTCGTTCTGCCAGCAGTGATGTGAGCAAGCCATTTCAGGACTGTACCTCGATCTGTTATATTGCTGTAAACCTGCCACAATACCCATCGCCAGTAACAACGGTCAATATTATTCAACGTTACATGAGTGGTGCCCAAGAGATAAAATTAGTTTTCCTAACCGTAGAAAGGATGAATACTGGGTAATGCTTCAATACATTTGTGGTGATAAAAGTCGTAGGCCGTCATAATGCACAATGCGCTACAATGGCGAGATGTTAAGTACATTGCCTGGTATACAGGAGGTCGTGGGTTCGATCCCGACCCTGACGCCTGTTGTATATTTGTAGTCTGTGTGCTCTCCCCGTCGTCGTGTGGATTTTTCTCCGGGTCCTCCAGGTCTCTCCCTCCACATTTAGAATCGACTTGCGGCGAGAGTATTTGGCTGCTGCTAATAAATGTCCACGTGACGATAAGCCGCGTCGTCCAGCTAACACTTGTGATAGCCTCGTCGCTTCTGAAGAAACAGCCGTATAGCTCAGTGGGGCCTTAGCCTGGTGAAACCAAAAAATAGCTTAGTTTCTAAGCCAGCCTTCATGGCAATCGAACAGGACTTGGCAAAATCACGTGGTGCGTCTGCAGGCCTGTTTAGCATCGAGGACGACAGCAATGGCCACTGACAACACAAGGCAACGGCTGCGGGCAAAGTCAACTGCTGACGAGGGTCTCCTCCTCCACGTTGTCCTGGGCCAAGGGGTTGAGCGGCCTCGCACCCACGATCTTGACGCCTTGTGCCCCTTGCGGGATGAGCGGAGGACTCTCCTTCAGCGCTGCCCGCGTCAGTCCCATGAGCATGTGTCCGCTGCGATCCGATAGCGCGCGGACACGGAGAGGGCACACGCCGGGTCATCACCCCGCGTTCAACAACAAAGACACAAAGACAAAGATCCCCCGTATGGCCTTAACAGATTGTTGGGGCAAGTGCTGTTAAGCGAGCACCTATGAAGGACGCTACGCCACACGAGGGGGTGGGTGGCGAACACCACGCCCGGCCACCTTTGTCTCCCCAGTGGCGATGTTTTTGCACATCGCACCAGGTACTATTTTAAGGCTGAGTCAACCTAGGGGAAGCCCAGGGCCGGTTCAGATAATCCTCAATGGTGTTGGCCGTGAGCGGGAATTGAACTCGGGTCGCTGGGTTCATAGTGCAATGCGCTAACTGCTGCACTACCGCTCCCCACCCACGTACATCCACAGCCAGCACCCGACACTTCACTCGACTCACCGATTTACTTATTCTGCTTGTTTATCCAGGAAAGCCTGAGTCTCAAGATTCTTCTTCAGGAGCGTTCTGCCTCCTGAAGGTGAGCACGGTTGGCTACGTATGGTGCGAAAAGACGTTCAGCATACATACTGCCACGGATGTACAGTAGCGGGCTGATGTTATGACGTGTAATGCCAATTGAGTCATATGTAGGTATTTTTTCAGCATTGTGATATTTGGTCCATGGGGCATTTACATCGTAATTTTTTTGTAGCTATAGAAGGAAACCTGGAGAATCCAGAGGAAACTTGTGCAGAACAGGGGAAGAACATACAAACTCCATGCACAAAGGCACACCTGAGGCAGGAATTGAACCCAGGTCCTACTTGCTGTGAAGCACAAGTATCAACCCCACTGCACCACCAATTCAGGTAAACATGCATTTTGATTGTATTAGAAATTAGTATTGACATTCAAGTGATTTTAACCCAAAGTATGCAGCCATGAGATATTCCACACTGTTACAGCGGTTGGGTCTCGACGAAAAAAACGAGTCCTTGGTTTGCTCTGCGCAATGTAACGTCTCGTATGAGGCCATGCAGGAGCCTCTGAATGTTTACACCAAAGACATCATTCTGAGTCTCCTGGGGCCAGGGTTGCAGCCACGAGGGGTCGTCCCCTTCTCACAGCGCAGCGCCTGGAATGCTCGCGGCATCTCTGGGTGGGGTGTTGATCGAGGCCCAGCAAAAGTGCGGTTATTGGAGTTTCCTGCACTCGATTACCTCGGATTTCTCACTCGATGCGACAATGCCTGAGCGGTAGCGCAATCGCCAACTTACTGCAGAGGTTCCCAGTTTGAGCCCAGCGGCCGTCATGTTTAATGCTGCGGATTAATTCACCTTAAATATGCACCATCTGTTGCACAGTGGATGTCAAACATCCCGTGACGTTATTAGAATAAAAAATGGGCCGTGTCTGCTGGAGTCATGGCCCAAATGAGCCACATTTCATAAATTACTCTCAAAATACCAAATTTGGAATAGCCATTCACCTTGTGGCACGCAGGGACAGCTGCCACTGAGGGTCTCTTTGACTAGACTGGGGGTCAGCAACCTGCGGCTCCGGAGCCGCATGAGGCTCTTTAAGGCCTGCTGCTTCGTGACGCTATTCATGAAGGACCACCATCTCGTATCCACCGCACAGTGCATTGTGGATATTAAAATATTGAGGGTTTTTTGGACCGAATTCGAAAAAAAAATTACTCTTCTTGTTATTGTGGTTGCCGACCCCTGAATTTGACTGCCACAAGGCTATGAATATCCAAGGTGCCTTGGAGATTCATATGAATTGAAGAAAGCGCCCTGTGCATGCAAATCCTTCTCCTTGGTGGGTGCGTGTTTGTATGCAGGTCAACCACCTGGGCTGGCTCGTTTCCTTTGGGGCTAGGAAAGCCGGGATGATTTTCTCTGGAGCGATGATTGATGCTTCTTGCTTTTTCACCTCGTTTATCCTCGCTTCCTGAGAAGAGCACAGACACCAACAATTAGAACACACGCCCAGACTTTGTCTGGTCACGACGTCCTTGGAAAGAGCCGCAGTCGACAAATCCGCGATCTGCAAACTCAAAAGGCATTCTGGGAAAAATATGGTTTGGTTCACGATTCGTAATACGACACCCACCCCCCTTTGTTTTATGTCATCCGACGTGATTCCAAATGTGAAACAGGAAGCATGTTCAGTGTAAAATGTGATTCATATTTTCTGTAGTGCCAAATGTAACTTGTACAGTAAATCTATGGAATGAAAAAAATACATGGAAAAATAAGCCTGAACGACACTGCCTCGCTGCCTGCTGGGAATCCGTGAACAGGAGACCCGCGATGGGCTGCTTGGGGGAGACAAGATGGTGTCTGTATTCTTCCGTGGCAGCATCATTGCGAGCAGTGCCAGTTGAGAGTACAGTACTTGATTACGATAGCTACAGGAACCTCGTGGTCAACCGTGGATGGTCAAAGCACAGGAGCACGTTCGGCGAACTATACCGACAGAAATCATGTGCAAATGGTCAAATCAGCGATGGCAAAACACGTGAAACTCAACTCATTATAGGCCAACGATGTATTAGCTTGGCTAGTAACACACGCTTCTGCTGTGAATGGTAAAAGCAGCGTTTAATAATCAGGACATCATTTTCAGAGAAATAAACTCCCGTTTTCCGTGTTCAATTATGATGACCCCTCTCAGGGTTTTATATAGAAATCATTTAACAATAATTAACACTTACAAAGTGCCTTTCACCCAGAGATCACACGGCGCATGCACGCAGGCAGGCTCACACCAAATCAGATACAACCCCAAAACAAAGGATGCAAGGAAAAGAAAAAAAGCCCTAAAAAATAAGTGGCGTCTTCAATCGCGATTTGAATCAAGCGAGGTGGGGGGGGCCGGGGGCAGCCGCACGAGGAGATGAGCTGAGCACAACCCCTGCCCATCAGTTTCAGCAAGGCAAAGCCACGTGGGGAAAACGGCGTGCGCCTAGGATAGCCAGAGCCAACCCGGGACGAACATTTCACGAGGGTGCCGGACAATGATCCTGCATTGCAATCATCAGTCTTCACACAGCACAGAAAGAGGCTGCCCTCCTAACACAGAAGTGAACAACTCAACGCATCCATCCATAACACATGCGGCCTTAAAGGGAAATTACATAAATGTATAACTGCTTTTTGTGTTTAGTTTGTTGTCCTTCCCCGCACCTCCAATTAGCACGGTTGGCTACGTGCAGTGGTAAAAAAGTTCAACATACACACACATATGTAACAGGCCATCTGTCGGGTAATGGCACTTCATTCATAGCACATAAATAGAAAGGCCAGAGAGTTAGAGGTGATAGTGTTGGAGACTGCACTTTAGACTATGGGGCCTGATGGAAATTATAATGAAAGATGTTTTATGATGACCAGTTTAGTTTGGTGTAAATGCAGTCCCCAACACTAATTATCCAGCCCACCTCACTGGTCTCTCTATTGAAGTGTTATTAAAGAAAAGGTTGAGTGCTCTGTTGTGCACCACTTTCAACGCAGCAGCAGCAGCAGTCGCCAAATAATTCGTTGCAACAGACCCATTTCACCTTCCTTCCTTGAACAACACTCGAGCTGAGATATCAGTATGCTAAGTCACCCGATTTCTGATTAACGCTTCTCTAACTTAATTGTGATTGTGCTATGATCAGTGTAAAAATAATCTGCTCGAGCTGAATAACGCTTACGGGAATTTACCATTTCACATAGAAATGTGTGCAAGATTTGCGAAGGCTCGTATAACCAAGTTACTTTTGGACTGATTTATATTTGCTGCATTGCGATACTTGATTCGTTTTGCTGTTGTCGTTGCGAATGTCACTGTCACGGTTTCTCTGGTTCTCACCTGGTTAAACAAATAAACTTGACTGCCACAGTGGCGAGATGTGAACGACCTCGCCTGTTATCCAGGAGGTTGTGGGATTGATCCCAACCCTGACGCCTGTATATTTCTCTGCGTGGTCGCGTGGATTTTTCTCCGGGTCCTCCCGTTTATCCCTTCACATTTAAAAAACAGGTGTTTAAGAGTACTTGGCTGCGATATATTTTTCACGTGATAAGCCACTTTGTCGAGCTATCATCGGTGACCAGGCCGCTTGTGACAAAGAGCTACGCAGCTCAGTGGGCCTTACCCGGTAAGTGAAACAAAGTTTAGTTTTATGCCTCGCGAGGATCGTCGTCCAGAGGAGTTTGCGCACGAACCCAGAGGGTGGGACTCACCAAGATGGGACTGGCCAGCTGGTTGCCTCCTCCACTGGGGAAGTTAAAGAACTTTGGGATGACGGAGACGCTGACTCTTCGGCGAGCAGTCGGGCTGCAAAGTCGTAAAGAAATCAACGAGACATTTGTTAACTCGCGCACCTCCGATTGGCTACGTACGGTGCGAAAGTTCAACATACATACACGACGTAGTCGCCGAAGCATCCAAAAACAGAGGTCACTCTTGGCTATGATATGTTGGTGTGAGGGGCGTGAAATCTCTCACTCCCCCCTTCCCCCCATCGTTATCAGCTCGGCCACGAGGTAAACTAAACCTTCTACGTACAGACTCGCTACATTCGCCTCATCACAGCCACGCGGAGGGCTTACGTGGCAAGTCGCAACCGTTGTAACACTTTGTCATCTCCATATATTTTGACAAAAAATAATTACGACGACAAAAATCTTCGCCGACAAATATCTTCGTCACCGACTGCGCTCGCGAATACAACGCCGCTGTGGGTTCGACGGCGAGTTAACGACGTTTCCTCGAAGTTCTTTACCTTGCCGAGCGATCCGATGATAGACATGGAGCGGTTCCCACGTGCCATGCCCTCGTCTGAGACACACGCGCGCGACAAATCGCATTAAGCCACTTCTCGTTGTGTTGTGAATTGTCAATGAGTGACGGAGTGCTGAGACGTGCGTTCCCTAAGGAAGGCATAGGGGCGAATATTTACATTGGACGGTTATTCATATTTAATAACTCCATTGTTAAATGATTTGGCTGCTGCAGCAGTGCACGGTAGAGCGGTGGCAGAGTGGTTAGCGCACTGAACTGTCGACCCAGACACCTGGACTTTGATTCTCAGCCACGGCGAACATGAGTGGAGAGTAATATGAAAACAAGTTCTGGGTGCCCCACGTCATAACAACAGTACACAGCTAAGTCTGTGTGGACCACCGCTCTCTATAGACAATGGTGACGCTGTGTGTACCACTGTCTAGAGACAATGGTGATGCTGTGTGTACCACTGTCTAGAGACAATGGTGACGCTGTGTGTACCACTGTCTAGAGACAATGGTGACGCTGTGTGTAGCACTGTCTAGAGACAATGGTGACGCTGTGTGTACCACTGTCTAGAGACAATGGTGACGCTGTGTGTACCACTGTCTAGAGACAATGGTGACGCTGTGTGTACCACTGTCTAGAGACAATGGTGACGCTGTGTGTACCACTGTCTAGAGACAATGGTGACGCTGTGTGTACCACTGTCTAGAGACAATGGTGACGCTGTGTGTACCACTGTCTAGAGACAATGGTGACGCTGTGTGTAGCACTGTCTAGAGACAATGGTGACGCTGTGTGTACCACTGTCTAGAGACAATGGTGACGCTGTGTGTACCACTGTCTAGAGACAATGGTGACGCCGTGTGTACCACTGTCTAGAGACAATGGTGACGCTGTGTGTACCACTGTCTAGAGACAATGGTGACGCCGTGTGTACCACTGTCTAGAGACAATGGTGACGCTGTGTGTACCACTGTCTAGAGACAATGGTGACGCTGTGTGTAGCACTGTCTAGAGACAATGGTGACGCTGTGTGTACCACTGTCTAGAGACAATGGTGACGCCGTGTGTACCACTGTCTAGAGACAATGGTGACGCTGTGTGTACCACTGTCTAGAGACAATGGTGACGCCGTGTGTACCACTGTCTAGAGACAATGGTGACGCTGTGTGTACCACTGTCTAGAGACAATGGTGACGCTGTGTGTAGCACTGTCTAGAGACAATGGTGACGCTGTGTGTACCACTGTCTAGAGACAATGGTGACGCTGTGTGTACCACTGTCTAGAGACAACGGTGACGCTGTGTGTAGCACTGTCTAGAGACAATGGTGACGCTGTGTGTACCACTGTCTGGAGACAATGGTGATGCTGTGTGTACCACTGTCTAGAGACAATGGTGACGCTGTGTGTACCACTGTCTAGAGACAATGGTGATGCCGTGTGTACCACTGTCTAGAGACAATGGTGACGCTGTGTGTACCACTGTCTAGAGACAATGGTGACGCTGTGTGTACCACTGTCTAGAGACAATGGTGACGCTGTGTGTACCACTGTCTAGAGACAATGGTGACGCTGTGTGTACCACTGTCTAGAGACAATGGTGACGCTGTGTGTAGCACTGTCTAGAGACAATGGTGATGCCGTGTGTACCACTGTCTAGAGACAATGGTGACGCTGTGTGTACCACTGTCTAGAGACAATGGTGACACTGTGTGTACCACTGTCTAGAGACAATGGTGATGCTGTGTGTACCACTGTCTAGAGACAATGGTGACGCTGTGTGTACCACTGTCTAGAGACAATGGTGATGCCGTGTGTACCACTGTCTAGAGACAATGGTGACGCTGTGTGTACCACTGTCTAGAGACAATGGTGACGCTGTGTGTACCACTGTCTAGAGACAATGGTGACGCCGTGTGTACTACTGTCTGGAGACAATGGTGACGCCGTGTGTACCACTGTCTAGAGACAATGGTGACGCTGTGTGTACCACTGTCTAGAGACAATGGTGATGCCGTGTGTACCACTGTCTAGAGACAATGGTGACGCTGTGTGTACCACTGTCTAGAGACAATGGTGACGCTGTGTGTACCACTGTCTAGAGACAATGGTGACGCCGTGTGTACCACTGTCTAGAGACAATGGTGACGCTGTGTGTATCACTGTCTAGAGACAATGGTGACGCCGTGTGTACCACTCTCTAGAGACAATGGTGACGCTGTGTGTACCACTGTCTAGAGACAATGGTGACGCCGTGTGTACCACTGTCTAGAGACAATGGTGACGCCGTGTGTACCACTGTCTAGAGACAATGGTGACGCCGTGTGTACCACTGTCTAGAGACAATGGTGACGCCGTGTGTACCACTGTCTAGAGACAATGGTGACGCCGTGTGTACCACTGTCTAGAGACAATGGTGACGCCGTGTGTACCACTGTCTAGAGACAATGGTGACGCTGTGTGTACCACTGTCTAGAGACAATGGTGACACTGTGTGTACTACTCTCTAGAGACAATGGTGATGCTGTGTGTACCACTGTCTAGAGACAATGGTGATGCTGTGTGTACCACTGTCTAGAGACAATGGTGACGCCGTGTGTACCACTGTCTAGAGACAATGGTGACGCTGTGTGTATCACTGTCTAGAGACAATGGTGACGCCGTGTGTACTACTGTCTAGAGACAATGGTGACGCCGTGTGTACCACTGTCTAGAGACAATGGTGACGTCGTGTGTACCACTGTCTAGAGACAATGGTGATGCTGTGTGTACTACTGTCTAGAGACAATGGTGACGCTGTGTGTAGCACTGTCTAGAGACAATGGTGACGCTGTGTGTACCACTGTCTAGAGACAATGGTGATGCTGTGTGTACCACTGTCTGGAGACAATGGTGATGCTGTGTGTACTACTGTCTAGAGACAATGATGATGCCGTGTGTACCACTGTCTAGAGACAATGGTGACGCTGTGTGTAGCACTGTCTAGAGACAATGGTGATGCTGTGTGTACCACTGTCTAGAGACAATGGTGACGCCGTGTGTACCACTGCTGTCCCCGGAGCCACTGTGCACGGAGCGAGAGTTGTGCTGCAGCAGCTTGCGCACGTCCTCCAGCTCGGCGTGCTCGCGCGCGTACAGCCGCTTCAGGTTCTCCACGTGCTGCACCATCACCTCCATGGCCCGGCACAGGCGCCCCTCCTACGGCACAGCAGCAACGCGCCGAGGTCACCCGCCGCCACGCCGCGGGGCGGAGCCGCCGGGCGGCCACAGAGGCTGAACACTGCACAGGCTGAGACGAAACTCACGTCTTGATTCACTCTCTGGAACGCTTGCGATATGACCTCGTGTAAAGGGGGCACACACGAATTTAGGAGGGGAAGGGCACGGCCCAGGTAATGTCAAGCAAAGTTTTGAAGAGGGGATGAGCCTTCGGCAAAGGGGGGCGGGGGGGGGGGCGGTGCAGACTCAGTTAGGGTGATCCCGACCCTGACGCCTGCCTATTTAGAGTTTGTGTGTCTCTCTCCCCATGGTCGCGTGGATTTTTTCGTCCAGGTCCTCCGGTTTTTCCCTCCAAATTTAAAAATGTAGAAACTGCTATAAATGCCCGCACAACAAGCCACTTTGTTGAGCTATCATTAGTGGCCAGGTGGCTTCTGAAAAAGAGTTATACAGCTCAGTAGACCTTACCTGGTAAAATAAAAAAAAGTTAGATCTGTGGTGGCCTCAGATCTGAGGGTGCTTCAGAAGGGACCATGGCAGCCTCAAAAAGGGTCCTCATTTGAGGCGCAGATGAAGGGCGCTGGAGGTGGCGCTCACCTGGTTCACGGCTCCCAGCTTCTCCGAGCAGCTGGAGGCCCTCATGGTGGCCTTGCGAAGCACCTGCAGGTTCTGCTGCAGCTGCTGGTATGTGTCCCGCGTCTGGGAGTCCTGGCACAGCGGCGCGAACATCTGCGACGGCACGGGCAGTGGCAGCGGCCGCAGCGGCGGGAGCAACGGCAGCGGCGATCATCAGATAAATCATTCAGCAGAGCAAAGGGAAACGTCTGCGCGCGGCGTTGACATCGTTGGCTGCACGGTAACAGGGGTGCACTACAGTGGAGAAATGTTAACTCTCTTGCCTAGTATTCAGGGTGTCGTGGGTTAAATCCCGACCCTGATGCCCGTATATTTGTAGTTTGCATTTCTTTCTCTCCCCGTGGTCGCGTGGATTCTTTCCGGGTCCTTCGGCTTTTCCCTTATTTGCCTCCTATACACTTCCACGTGATAAGCCACTTTGTGGAACTATCATTTGTGGCCAGGCCGCTTCTGAAAGAGAGCTGCACAGCTCAGTGGGCCTTACCTGGTAAAATAAAAGTAGTAGAAGTCGTTTTTAAGTTTAAACTACTGCAGGCAGACAGGGCCCTCTAGCAGCAGATTTGCAGGTGACAGAAAACTCAATTGGCAATGGACAAGATATCTCTAGTAGGCGACGTTTTGGGCAACGGGCCTTCTTCATAGCACATGGGCCATTGGCTAAAACCTTCGCCTAGTTTTTATATTATTTTTTATTTTATCTGTGTCCGTGGCACCAGTGCCAATAAGGCAGCGGCAAGAATACTTTCCTTGTATTCGCGCGTAAAATCATTATGTTATTCCACCATGGAGTTCACACGTGAAAGTACAATTTTTCACGTGTATGGCCAACATGTCAATATGAACTCATTAAAGGTACATGGTTCATTTTTGTGGGAGGCCAAGCAATGATCTGGCAAAATGTGTGTCGTGAAGACCCTCCACCACCCATCATGGCCCGAGCAATACAAATTCTCACTTGTACAAGCAATTTAACAAGACGATTTTTATCGTTTTAGTCGTGAATTCTGACATGTACAGGAACGCTGCACGAATCGTTTTGGTGATACGGGTCTCTCACTCAGGAGCGCAGGCATGAGTGGCGCAAAAGGTGATGCGGGTGTGAAAGGGAGCGTACTGAATGGCCGCGTGCGGAGCTGCTCCCAATCATTCTACACTTGGGGTGTGAATGCGTTACAGTGCTCGCGTGAGCTTGCGACGCAGTGCGTGCGAGTAGCAGAGAATGGATTTTGATTTAAAGCTTATTGTTTTACATTTTTATGATGTTATTATTTCCCTTCTACGTGACTTTACCGAAAGAACCAAGAATATATATAGCAGGGAATGCTTTGAAAATAGAGGAAGTGTCAATCATTGGCACTTTAATATCACCAAGACAACCAAAACAGCCCCCCCCCCCCCCCGTGAGTGAGTGACAGAGACCCCCCCCCCCCCCCCGTGAGCGAGGGCCGTGCCTGCACTGTGCTGGAGACGGCGTCGATCTCGCAGGAGACGTTCTCCTCGGCGAGGTTCCTCGCGCGCTCCTCCAGACGCAGGCGCTTCTCCAGCGAGAACATGTCGTTGCGGAACGCCAGCGAGAGGCGCACGAACGCCGTCTGCCACGCACGCACGTACGTACGCACGCACACACACACGCACGCACACACGCACGCACGTACGTACGCACGCACACACGCACGCACGCACGTACGCACGCACACACACACGCACGCACACACACACGCACGCACACACGCACGCACACACGCACGCACACACGCACACACGCACACACACACGCACGCACGCACACACACACACGCACACACACACGCACACACGCACGCACGTGGAAAACCACGTGCACAAACACGATGCTATTAAAGCACGATTGGGGCAACGCTGGAGATGGGGCAATTTAGATGGCACAGGTGCCACGTCAGACGGTCTTCCATACCAACAGAAGCTGCATGTAAGCACAGCAGCTCCAGGTGTGATTGTATCCGCAGCAGTGTGCTGCTTGTGTCACCTGCGAGTGTAACGAACGCGCGTCTCCGTCGTGAGAAACACTGTGCTTGTGTCGGGTGTGCTTATATCAAGCTTCTAAGTGATTTGCGTTTTTGAAACCCAAAAAATATTTAAACACCAAAATATGATGCTACAGCTTATATTGTAGTATTAGTTTAAAATGTAACAGTTACAATGAGTGCTCTTTGTGGAAACGTTTTCTACACAGAGTTGCTGAGCAGTTCCTGGGCCACGAACTGCAATTAAATCTTACCTCGACTTCTTGTTCACTGAGGGAAGGTCTAAAGAGAAATTGGGGAGACATAAAACAACAAAGAAGAGTTATACGGTAAAAAAATATCCTCTACCCATCAAAGCCACATTGAGTCACAGCTGGCAACCAAAATTGTGAGTCAATGACCAGGCCTCATGCAATACTAGACCTGGAGGCCTGTAAGACCAGATATAGGCCCAATGCAAGGCCGCTGTATGTGGGAGGCCTCTGAGCTCAGACACAGACCCAATGCAAGGCCGCTGTACCTGGAGGCCTGTAAGCCCAGATACAGGCCCAATGCAAGGCCGCTGTATGTGGGAGGCCTCTGAGCTCAGACACAGACCCAATGCAAGGCCGCTGTACCTGGAGGCCTGTAAGCCCAGATACAGGCCCAATGCAAGGCCGCTGTATGTGGGAGGCCTCTGAGCTCAGACACAGACCCAATGCAAGGCCGCTGTACCTGGAGGCCTGTAAGCCCAGATAAAGGCCCAATGCAAGGCCACTGTATGTGGGAGGCCTCTGAGCTCAGACACAGGTCCAATGAAAGGCCGCTGTACCTGGAGGCTTGAGAGCGGTGGAGCTGCAGACTGTGAAGGAGCTTGTCCGACACCACTGGCTTGGCCGGAGGCTTCTGGGCATCCGTGCTTGCTGCCACGACTTCACCTTCTGACTCACAGGCAAGAGGGACACACGCCAATGCACAGCGAAGCCGATGTTCAATGGTGAAACTGGTCTTTGCGGTAGAAAGGTGGAATTACCACCACCAGATCAAGGGGCTGTCATGGGGGTTGTCTTCCCATACTTCACCATGTTGGTGAGTGTGGATGAGTGAAAGGACCAGAAATAGTTCAGAAATCGCTTTCCTCCAACATTAACCGTTGTTAGGAATTGAAATCAGGTCGCAAGCTTTGGAGTGCAACGTGCTAACTACTGTGCCACCGCTCCACGCCATGCTAGTATATCCCTTCCTGTAGCGTAACACACCTATGAGTACTTGGCTGCTATAGATTTCCACGTGATAAGCCACTTCTTTGAGCTATCATTTGTGGCCAGGTAGATTCTGAAAAAGAGCTATACAGCTCAATGGGCCTTACCTGGTGAAATAAAAAGTTTAGTTAAATAACGCTCCAGCCTCAGACTCACACCATGACTGGGAACTGAACTCGCTCGTCCTCAACTCCACCACCGCCGCCCCAGTCTGTCCCTGAGTGTGTGTGCTCGTACCATTGTCGTCCTCGGTGTCGCTCTTCCTCTCGGCAGCCTCGGCCAGCTCGGGCATCTTCTGGTCGCCCACCGTCCTGCACCAGGTTTGCTTCTTTCCCTGCCCACAGCAAGCAGAGACATCATGGTGGCATTTGTTTCGCGATAAAAATCTCTCGGGTTTCCAATTCTAAGGAGGAGCAATTACTCTGCTTGCCTCAGTTAAATGATTGCATTTACAAAATGAAAGACACTGCCGTGCTGTAATGGTTCGACGCCGGGCTTGCGATCCAGAGGTTTTGCCGGTCCGATCTTCCGGTGCGGCAGCTGTAACATTGGGGCAAGTTTATTAAATCCTCCCATCACCTCTGTCCTTGCAAGCGTTGAAGAGTAGACCAAAATACCCTCTAGACTAGGGGTCGGCAAACTTGCCGCTCCAGAGCCGCATGCGATGACTCTTCGGCTGCCCCCATTGCGGGCAGCCGTTTATTTTAAAGAAAAAAGACGTAAATCTTCACGCAAAGATAATTATCAAAAGTATTAAACGTGAGAGGGAATGGTTCACGATGGTCTTAGTGACAGCAAAATGTAAAAAAATCGTAATTTTTCTTACTAAAGGGAGACAAAAACTGAATAGATGCAGTTTATTCCATCACCTATTTCGTTTAAGTCAGAATGTGCTGTTGTTATTGTCATCTGCTGTATACCAGCTGCTGCGTTTGTGTACAAGTAGTTCTGCGCGTGATGTGGCTCTCGAACAATTTTTTATCAAAGACAAAAAGCAATGGCTCTTTTTTGAAAGGTTGCCGACCCCTGCTCTCGACGCTCGAGGGGCTCTACAAAGCTCACCGGAGCTCCCTCGAGTGGAGGTCCTTCCTCCAGCAGTGCAGTGGGAAAGCGACTCCATTAATGTTACGATTCCGTCGCGTGTTGTGCTTCCACCCTGCCATCTGAGCACTATCACCTGTGGATTACCACTCATCACCCTGCCATCTGAGCACTATCACCTGTGGATTACCACTCGTCACCCTGCCATCTGAGCACTGTCACCTGTGGATTACCACTCATCACCCTGCCATCTGAGCACTATCACCTGTGGATTACCACTCGTCACCCTGCCATCTGAGCACTATCACCTGTGGATTACCACTCATCACCCTGCCATCTGAGCACTATCACCTGTGGATTACCACTCATCACCCTGCCATCTGAGCACTATCACCTGTGGATTACCACTCGTCACCCTGCCATCTGAGCACTATCACCTGTGGATTACCACTCGTCACCCTGCCATCTGAGCACTATCACCTGTGGATTACCACTCGTCACCCTGCCATCTGAGCACTATCACCTGTGGATTACCACTCATCACCCTGCCATCTGAGCACTATCACCTGTGGATTACCACTCGTCACCCTGCCATCTGAGCACTATCACCTGTGGATTACCACTCGTCACCCTGCCATCTGAGCACTATCACCTGTGGATTACCGCTCGTCACCCTGCCATCTGAGCACTATCACCTGTGGATTACCACTCATCACCCTGCCATCTGAGCACTATCACCTGTGGATTACCACTCATCACCCTGCCATCTGAGCACTATCACCTGTGGATTACCACTCGTCACCCTGCCATCTGAGCACTGTCACCTGTGGATTACCACTCGTCACCCTGCCATCTGAGCACTATCACCTGTGGATTACCACTCGTCACCCTGCCATCTGAGCACTATCACCTGTGGATTACCACTCGTCACCCTGCCATCTGAGCACTATCACCTGTGGATTACCACTCGTCACCCTGCCATCTGAGCACTATCACCTGTGGATTACCGCTCGTCACCCTGCCATCTGAGCACTATCACCTGTGGATTACCACTCATCACCCTGCCATCTGAGCACTGTCTCCTGTGGATTACCGCTCGTCACCCTGCCATCTGAGCACTATCACCTGTGGATTACCACTCATCACCCTGCCATCTGAGCACTATCACCTGTGGATTACCACTCGTCACCCTGCCATCTGAGCACTGTCACCTGTGGATTACCACTCATCACCCTGCCATCTGAGCACTGTCACCTGTGGATTACCACTCGTCACCCTGCCATCTGAGCACTATCACCTGTGGATTACCACTCATCACCCTGCCATCTGAGCACTGTCACCTGTGGATTACCACGTCACCCTGCCATCTGAGCACTATCACCTGTGGATTACCACTCGTCACCCTGCCATCTGAGCACTATCACCTGTGGATTACCACTCATCACCCTGCCATCTGAGCACTATCACCTGTGGATTACCGCTCGTCACCCTGCCATCTGAGCACTATCACCTGTGGATTACCGCTCATCACCCTGCCATCTGAGCACTATCACCTGTGGATTACCACTCATCACCCTGCCATCTGAGCACTATCACCTGTGGATTACCACTCATCACCCTGCCATCTGAGCGCTGTCGCCTGTGGATTACCGCTCATCACCCTGCCATCTGAGCACTATCACCTGTGGATTACCACTCATCACCCTGCCATCTGAGCCCTATCACCTGTGGATTACCACTCATCACCCTGCCATCTGAGCACTATCACCTGTGGATTACCACCCGTCACCCTGCCATCTGAGCACTATCACCTGTGGATTACCACTCATCACCCTGCCATCTGAGCACTGTCACCTGTGGATTACCACTCGTCACCCTGCCATCTGAGCACTGTAACCTGTGGATTACCACTCATCACCCTGCCATCTGAGCACTATCACCTATGGATTACCACTCATCACCCTGCCATCTGAGCACTATCACCTGTGGATTACCACTCATCACCCTGCCATCTGAGCGCTGTCGCCTGTGGATTACCGCTCATCACCCTGCCATCTGAGCACTATCACCTGTGGATTACCACTCGTCACCCTGCCATCTGAGCACTATCACCTATGGATTACCACTCGTCACCCTGCCATCTGAGCACTATCACCTGTGGATTACCACTCGTCACCCTGCCATCTGAGCACTATCACCTGTGGATTACCACTCGTCACCCTGCCATCTGAGCACTATCACCTATGGATTACCACTCATCACCCTGCCATCTGAGCACTATCACCTGTGGATTACCACTCGTCACCCTGCCATCTGAGCACTATCACCTGTGGATTACCACTCGTCACCCTGCCATCTGAGCACTGTCACCTGTGGATTACCACTCGTCACCCTGCCATCTGAGCACTGTCACCTGTGGATTACCACTCATCACCCTGCCATCTGAGCGCTGTCGCCTGTGGATTACCACTCGTCACCCTGCCATCTGAGCACTGTCACCTGTGGATTACCACTCGTCACCCTGCCATCTGAGCACTGTCACCTGTGGATTACCACTCGTCACCCTGCCATCTGAGCACTATCACCTGTGGATTACCACTCGTCACCCTGTCATCTGAGCACTGTCACCTGTGGATTACCACTCATCACCCTGCCATCTGAGCACTGTCACCTGTGGATTACCACTCGTCACCCTGCTATCTGAGCACTATCACCTGTGGATTACCACTCATCACCCTGCCATCTGAGCACTGTCACCTGTGGATTACCACTCGTCACCCTGCCATCTGAGCACTGTCACCTGTGGATTACCGCTCGTCACCCTGCCATCTGAGCACTGTCACCTGTGGATTACCACTCGTCACCCTGCCATCTGAGCACTATCACCTGTGGATTACCACTCATCACCCTGCCATCTGAGCACTATCACCTGTGGATTACCACTCGTCACCCTGCCATCTGAGCACTATCACCTGTGGATTACCACCCATCACCCTGCCATCTGAGCACTATCACCTGTGGATTACCACTCATCACCCTGCCATCTGAGCACTATCACCTGTGGATTACCACTCATCACCCTGCCATCTGAGCACTGTCACCTGTGGATTACCACTCATCACCCTGCCATCTGAGCACTGTCACCTGTGGATTACCACTCATCACCCTGCCATCTGAGCACTATCACCTGTGGATTACCACTCATCACCCTGCCATCTGAGCACTATCACCTGTGGATTACCGCTCATCACCCTGCCATCTGAGCACTGTCACCTGTGGATTACCACTCATCACCCTGCCATCTGAGCGCTGTCGCCTGTGGATTACCACTCGTCACCCTGCCATCTGAGCACTGTCACCTGTGGATTACCACTCGTCACCCTGCCATCTGAGCACTGTCACCTGTGGATTACCACTCGTCACCCTGCCATCTGAGCACTATCACCTGTGGATTACCACTCGTCACCCTGTCATCTGAGCACTGTCACCTGTGGATTACCACTCATCACCCTGCCATCTGAGCACTGTCACCTGTGGATTACCACTCGTCACCCTGCCATCTGAGCACTATCACCTGTGGATTACCACTCATCACCCTGCCATCTGAGCACTGTCACCTGTGGATTACCACTCGTCACCCTGCCATCTGAGCACTGTCACCTGTGGATTACCGCTCGTCACCCTGCCATCTGAGCACTGTCACCTGTGGATTACCACTCGTCACCCTGCCATCTGAGCACTATCACCTGTGGATTACCACTCATCACCCTGCCATCTGAGCACTATCACCTGTGGATTACCACTCGTCACCCTGCCATCTGAGCACTATCACCTGTGGATTACCACCCATCACCCTGCCATCTGAGCACTATCACCTGTGGATTACCACTCATCACCCTGCCATCTGAGCACTATCACCTGTGGATTACCACTCATCACCCTGCCATCTGAGCACTGTCACCTGTGGATTACCACTCATCACCCTGCCATCTGAGCACTGTCACCTGTGGATTACCACTCATCACCCTGCCATCTGAGCACTATCACCTGTGGATTACCACTCATCACCCTGCCATCTGAGCACTATCACCTGTGGATTACCGCTCATCACCCTGCCATCTGAGCACTGTCACCTGTGGATTACCACTCATCACCCTGCCATCTGAGCACTGTCACCTGTGGATTACCGCTCATCACCCTGCCATCTGAGCACTATCACCTGTGGATTACCACTCATCACCCTGCCATCTGAGCACTATCACCTGTGGATTACCACTCGTCACCCTGCCATCT